GTTATATATGCTGGGGCACTGTGTGCTTGCCTGTTCTTTCTTTCTTTTTTTTTTTTTTTTTTTTTTTTAATCTTATTTCATTTTCTTGTGAGCCTGAAATTAAAAACGTGTCTGGTCCTGCTGTTAAGTTCAGTGACTAAAGTCCTGGCTTGTTCCAGTGGCGAAGTGTTGCAAACTTAACTAATTCAAAGAAGTGACCTATAGTGATACAAGGCACTGATCCAACAGGCAGAAGGTCATTTTATTCTTAAACTGTTCATAGGTCTGAATTAAGATGCCAGTGACCGTTTCTTACTGACTCACCCATATAGTGAAATGCATCCAGAGCAAGAAGAGTTTGGAAGAGGAGAAATGGAGGAAAAAAATTGCAAGTAACATGTAAATTACAAAACAAAACACACACAGCTCTCGGGATTGGCTGAAACCATCAGCACCCAGCAGTTCCTGTTGTGCTGCTTCTGGGCTGAGTTCCCCCGTTTCCTTGGCTTCTTGTGCACCTTGTGTGTTGGGCTCCTTTGAAAATGCGGGTACTTGTTTTGTCGCCTAATTAGAAGCAGAACTCATCTCAAAATGCACTTACTTTCCCTCCAGGGATGGTACTACACCAAAACAGACTGTATGCTTTGGCTTAATTTAATAAGTCATAATCTCTTCTCATATTTTATTGCATGTTAGTGTGAGGTGATTTTTTCCAGAGATGATTCAAAATAATACAAAAGGAACAAGCTTGTCCTGTGAACAAAACATGAATTATAGCTGATAAAATCAAGATAGTTTGAAGGCTTGCCAGCACAAAGAATGAATTCCCTTGGATTCCTAACATACAAAGTAATCTTAGCAACCCCAAATTTCCCTAGTAATTTGGAAGTTTAGAGGAAACTTAAGGACACTCTAAGGAAATCAATAGAAAGAAAATGTTTCCTGTTAACGCAGAAAAGAATTACTGTGAAATGAGGAAAGGGACGAGGTGATTTCTGCCTTTTTGATGAAGTCCCACCATTTGGACGCCCTTCACCTGTGCCTCCGGGATGTGGATGTTGTTACGCTCATTGGGCAGCTGCCATCTCGAGAAAGCACGGTGGAGCAATTCATGGAAAAGGCAGCCTGAACGGAGCAAGGTGTCGGATTGCTGGGTTTCCTGCACGGGGAATAACGGGGGTTCAGCGCTGCAGGCTGCACTACCCCAGCTCCTGGCTGGGTGCAGCTCAGGCTGCGAGCTTTGATGCAAGCTTCGATGCAAACTTTGATGCAAGCTTTGACACAAGCTTTGGGTTTCGTGGCTGTCCCCGGGGGTTGCAGCCGGGTGTGCGGCGCTGCGCGGGGTGCAGGCTGGCAGCTTGGGTGCAGTGTGCGGCTGTAGCCGAGTGCAGGGATTTGCAGTGCAGGTCTTGGGAGGTTGGGTGCTCAAGTGGGGCCCTGGTTCCTTTCGTTGTCGGAAAGAGCATCCATCAGTTAGGCATTTTTGCACGCGTGGAGCTGGTTCCAATAACGAATATATATATTTATTTTAGTGAGCTGCACATATGTTCAAGGATCCCATAAGTTCATAAAAATCCAACCTATAAAAAGTTGTAGAGGAATCTCGTTTTGTCCTCATCAGTTGCTCTGTAGCAGAATGAAAGAAATGCACTGATTTCAATGGAGAATGTATCTTGTGTGCTGAAGTCAGTCCCAGTTTGGGAAAGAATTAGAGCACATACACAAGCACTTTTAAGTGATGAGCGTGTTTAAGGGATTTGACTGTAGGTAGGCTTATTCCTGTGCCTAAAGTTAGCCTTGTGTTTTGCTGATTGAAGGTATGGAAAAGACAACTGAATGAAGTGCAGGGGGCTCTGTCTCAGCGAAGCGCTTTTGCACGTGCCTAGGAACGTTTTCTTAGATTGGAACTCGATGTTCTGTGCTGATATTTGTAGAACGCCAAATAACACAGAAGAGTGATTTACACCATGGCAGATCTTTGATTATTCTAGATATCTTGTGCTAGAAATTTCAGATGTGGCTCTGAACCTCAGGGCCATGTGCACAGCTTGGGGATTTATAGTCACAGTTCTTCTCTGTTGTTCCCCAGTCTGATCCTTTTTGGTGCTTTCTAGAAAATGGCTTCTCCAGAACTGTAATTCTCTCAAATTAGACAGCAGAAACCACAGGGAATGGGGTTTTTTTTTAAAATATGTCGCTATCTAAAGATGATATTTCAACCTTCCTCTGTAAACTTGGGCAAGTTGCTTAACCTCTCTGTAGCTACATATTCTCTACCTGGAAAGGAGGAAATATCTGTGTTGTATGAAAGCTCTGCAGCTTATTTCAGAAATGCGAGCAAGAGGGGTTCTGACCTCCTGGCGTGCAGACAGCGATTAAACTACAAAGCATTATTAGTATGGGAATTTAAGTAGCAATATGCATTTATTCTAAATACATTATCAAACTGCCTTATGTGGTACTATCTGAAAGGCCATTCACATTACAGAGCCTTGCTCTGTGTGGTATGTGTGAAGATTTAGCTTCATGAAGTTGTGCTGTGACTTACGTGGGGCCAGAATTCCACTTCATAGTCCATTTAAGCCTGTGTAAATCTTTGCAAGATCAGGGCGTGTATATCATAAAAATGGGAGTTGTCCTTGATTTTTTATAAATCCTACAGAATTCTTTATTAGGCACAAAATACACTTAAAAGGAGAAAAAACATAAATATGCATTTCAAAAGCTGAATATTTCTGGGCTTAAATATACTTTAGTCTTATGAATAATTTGGAAAGTTTAGTTCAGCGGGAAGATTAATCAAGGTTCAGAAACATCCCAGAGTCAATGACATGCATTGCAACCGCTGTCCAAAATCAGTATGTACTTTCCCAGCTCTTCAGAGCACTGTTCCCTACTCCAAGGTTCACAGCCTAAAGCAGGGAGAGAGAAATCCCTGAAGCAAAAATGCAGCTTCTCTCTGCTTTGCAGAGAGTGAGATTGAAATTGGTTAATGGCAGAGACTAATGAGTCTCTTATCCTTGAAGATTAAAAAAAAAATAAAGATTGTAACACAAATGAGATTGCGAGTGTACAAAATCTGATATGAGATATCAGTTCCCTTTTGCCACATTTTTAGTGTGAGAATTATATAGCTACGATTTCAAGCTGACTTTTCAGCTCCCCTTGTATAAATGGAATGGTGGTTATTTTAAATGCATGCATCATACTGGAAGGATGGCAGAATGGATGCTTTCTAGTTCAAGGTCTGCTGCTGAAAACATTTTCTGCTTTATTAACTTCATGCATGCTGCTCTGTCTCACAGTGCTCAGTGGGACTGCCCTGGGGTGCCAGGAATTGCAAGATTTGGGCCAGAGCAGAATGTAACGTTAGTCTCTGAACCAGCACATCCTGGTAAAGCATGTGAACAAACTGCAGACTTGAGGAGGGTCACAAAGCTGGACTAGTTGCTGCCTGGTTACCACCTCCTGAGGTTACTTGGACTTTTCCCCTCAGTCTTTGCAACATGTACCTCTAATAAATCACTTTGTGCATCCTATGCACCAACTGACTATCTGCTCTGTTTAGCTCACTACCACTTAATATTTGTGAGGAGTTTTCTTTAGCAAAGAAAGACACTTTCATGGGGAAATCAGCCTGGCAACTTGTGAATTCCTTTGCGATTGATGTGGTGCAGACAGTGCTTCTGAGGAAATCAATGGCTGTATTGAGTGGCAACCTGAAGGACCGGGCCCTGCACTGGCCTAATGCAGCTGAGACTTGAAGATGGTGATTGACCTGCTTGCAGTAGAGTTAGGAGCCAACCCCCAAGACAGGAGTTTCTATGCGAACTAGAGATTTTGTATCTCTTCGTATGAACTGTGCTTGATAGATAGCTAACCCCCAAATCAATCTTCTCACCCTATAAACCCAGCTCTTGACAGTCTTATTGTGATTGAACTCCCAATAATGATGTGAAGGTGCTGCCTTTTGTTCCTCCACAGTGGTGTTCCCCATTATGGGAAGCACTCGCTTCCCTAAGGACATAATAGTGCATTTTAGCTGGCTGACTCCTTCAGCAGACGCAGCCCTTTGAGTGACCGGCCATAAGAAGACCTAAGAGCTGCCTGGGGTTGTGCTAGCAGAGCTGCTGCAGCCTTTGCCCTGGTGGCCATAAGGAAAAGCAGCTCTAATTGCTGCAGCTCTCCAAGCCTTTACAAGGCCTGTGTGATGCTTTCACCTTCTAGTCTTTCAAAAGCAGCCCAGAAAATGAGCACCTGCTGACCCAGAAAGAAAACTCTTGTGTTAATCTGCATGATCATCCAAGGACAAACCAGACGTGGAGCACTTTAGTAGCTGAGCTTCATAACCTCTCTGCTTTGTAGCAACGTGTCCAGCCCCTGGAGAACTCACAGATTCCTCGCCTTGGTTAACCAGCTTTCTCAGCAGCAGGCCTGGGGGTCACTAACTAAAGTTTACATTTACTAAAACTGCGCCCTTGGATAAAGCCTCACGGACACCTCGTCGGCAGGACTGCATCCTTTCTTTGGATACTGACAAAAAACACTGGCTCTGTGCACAAATTGTGCAGTTTTCCACTCAGTTGTTCTTGATTAGTACCAGCATTAGGAAGCAAACACTTCTAATATGTTTTACATCCGTTTTTTTTTTTTTGTTTTGCTCTTTAAGTTGATACTAATTGATCTATACTTCTGCTACAGAACAGTGAAAATCAAAGCTGCGGCTGTGTGTGTATTTGTATATCAGTGCCGCTTGTGTGCGGGAAGACAGCATCATTTGTTGCAAAATACATGATAGCCAGAGGACCATTAAGGCTTTGTCTATACGGGAAAAGCACAGAGGTTTATATAAATTTAGAACTGAGTGAAAATCTGTGTACTAACTGTGGTGTGTGAGCGGTTTGCCGAGTTTTGCTTGAAGTGAAACTCAAAGCAACATATATTTTTCCCTCTCAAAAGAATTTCCCTGGATATTTTCCCCTCTCAAAAGAAATACTCACCTGACTGTGTTTTCTCTTTTCAGTGTGCTAAGATTTTGACCTGGTGTGAGGGCCGCAGGAGACATTCTGGGGTAAGTGGTCAAAAATCCCTTTGTTTCCTCTGTGGAACCTTTCTTGTCTGGGCGATTCAGGTCAAGTATTGTGATAAGCTGGGATCAGATACCCATCTGTGGATCCAGTTGTGCCAGTGAAAAAGGAGCTATCATCCCAGAGCCTCTTCTCCCCTCCTTGCCCCCCGTAGCTGTTTGTTGCTGTCTCCTTGCCAGATGCTATCACATGCTCAGATTGTTTGCAGAGATGTTCAGAAGAGGGCCCTTAAGATGCCTCTGCCCAAATCCTCTGGGTTAGCAAAGAGCTATTACTTAAGCTATCTTAAATAAACCTGGCTTGTTTTGATTGATAAGGGACTGGGGATGCTTAAATGAGCAGCTCTTAAGGGGCTGTGTGTCCTGTCTGCCTGCAGATCTGATGAAGGGGCTGTGACAGGTAGCTGGAGACACCAAGCATTCACCTACCTGCAGAAGCTCATGTGTCCAGCAGCCCTGAGCTAGCTCCTCAGCCTCACTGACACCCGTGATTGTGGGCTGGGACTCCTGCATTCTGTTCCTAATTTAGCTCCTGGCCCACTATGTAGTCTTGAGCACATCAGCTGTCTATGCCTCAGTTTCTGCATGGAGGCACAATCATCTTCACAGCAGGAGGACTGTGAGAGTTAATTGTAAAGTGATTTGATCCCCTTCTTGCTGAGTTACAAGCCCCTGGTGCTACTTCTGCACTTCAAAAGATTTAGGCTTCCCCCCCCCCCCCCCCCCCCTTTTTCTTTCTGAAGTCTTGAGTAAATGAAAAGCCAAATTCGTGTTCACAATGGGAAACTCTACTTCACTTTAAAGAATCTTGTTTATTCTGATGACTCACTATCAGAAGTATTGCTATGTTAAGTAGCCCAGCAAGAAATCCACCTTCTCAGCCCTCATCAGAACAAGTACACAGTTCCAAGGGAATAATGCATCAAACAATTCAGCTGTCCACATGGAGGGATAAAAACTGCTCTCTCCGTGTCCTTTGAAACTCGTTTTGACTTTGTGTGGATGTGTAAGGTTGGCATGAGTGGATTCTTCGCATGTATTCGAATACAACTACAATCCACTTCAGAGAAACCCGCACAAGTAGTTGTGGAGTAAGCAAGAGCAGTCCTGGCTCCTTAGCTGCACTGACACTTTATTTTCGGCCATGGTGATGTTAGTTGCACTGTATTTCTAACAGTGCTACTACTGAAGGGTTTTTGCCACTGTCCCTGCTAAGCACTGTGCCATTTTAGAACCCCTAGTTTCTAACATGATGTCAAGCAAGCTTAGCATAAGCTAAGTTTAAAAACGTGTTAGTTAGGCTCTTGTACTGCAAGCAGCTTGTAGGCACACTTCCCTTCTTGGGACTGTACATATACTATATGAAAAAACGTGGTTGTAATATGCCACTTAAGCTGCTAAAATGCCAGTGTAGTTATGCGAAATGGTTGGTAGAGCAGCCTGCATGGTGGTGAGAACAGCAGGAAGGACATGTCCCCTTCCAATTGTTAGCCCAAGGTAAGAACACCTTTTTCTCCTGCTGAAGGTGGGCGTATAAAGCAAGGCTGTGTTAATGTCTCCTGAGTCTGAAGCCTTAGCCCTGCAATGTGAAATGTTTGTCAGCTTGGAGAGTTCCCATCCCTGCATCGCTCCCGTGACAGAGCACAGTCCCTCAGGCGGTCATCTCTGTTGGCAGAAAACTGCAGTGCAGAGATAGGGAAGAACAGTCAGGGGTGATTTCAGTGTTGAAGAAAATAAAAGTATGTAACCACACCAGAAGGAGGCTGCTGAGGTGATGTTGTTTTCAACACTAGAAATAAACTCCTGCTGTACTCTGGTACTGTCATCACGTGCTTTCCACAGCCATGTACATCCGTGCTCAGGGAGTATGAAATGGGCTGAGCAGCTCCCCAGCTTGGCTGATATGCCTCCTTATACCACCCTGGCCTTGTAGAGCAGCCTTGCATATATGCAGATAGAAATAATCTGTAATATGATTTAATTCTTAGAATAGTTGAGGTAGGAGAGTGCTGCTTATCTGGCTAAAAAATATCTACAATTGAGCTCCTAAAATGAAAGTTAACAATTTTTCTGTGGTGACAGCTGAGGATCAGCGTATAACGTGAGTGGTTTTGTAATACTGCTGTAGCCCAGCAGTTAAAACTGTTCCTGGGCAGGTGCCCTCCAAGCAAATTCTCACTCATCAAATTATTTTGAGATGCTTTCAGCTCTCCCAAGAGGCTATGATGGATGGTGGGAAAAGCAAATTAAACAGACTGCAGTTTAAGCTGGTTTACTACTTAACCGTATCCTCTACTGGGTTTACAGTTTTTTTATTTTAAGCTGAGAAAAGGTTATTACCATCTTAAAGCTGGGAGCTCCAGCCTCCAAATCCCTGTAACGTCATGCAAAAGTAAATGGGACAGTTAAGTGACATTGTCATTAGCTGCCTGCTGGAAGCTCACACAAGCTTCTGACACGGAGTTCCTGCAGGGATGGCCCCTTGTCCTTGCCTGAGACCAATGCATTTGACTGCAGCAGCTTTGCATGGAGCTGCTCATGATTCCCCGCGCAGGACGTGGTTGCAGGGCCAGCTCTACCTGCCAGCTTTCCACATGGCATCTTAGCTGCTGATGGTGCCTGAGCAGCTGCCGTGTGATGGGCCCTGTCAGGACTGAAATCCGCAAGAGGAGAAGGGGTGATGGCGGCGAGAGGGTAGAAGATGGGGGTTCGCTGAGCAGTCTGGCCCCAGTAGCCCCCAGGCCTGGCTGAGATTGCAGGATGATCTCCCAGTAAGGTCCTGCACATGGTGACCATCCACTATGGAGCTTGAAGGCCTCCCTCCTTCCCTTCTCCTTTGGAGCAGTGTTGCCAGATATCTGGTAGCTGCTGCTGCCTCTCTCATCACTCCCCTGCTTGCTGCGCAGAGCAGCTCACGCTCTCTCAAATAACATTAATTAACTGCTCTCTTTTCCCTTCTCCATGGCTCTCTCCGTGGCCCACCGTCTTCCCACAGGGCTTTGCTGTGGCACCAGGATTCCTCCTTCCGCAGCAGGATGCTGCCAAGGGCCAGGGCCTGGCACAGGGAGGGCAGCGAGAGGAGCCTTGCCCCCCTGTTCCGGGTTGGAGCCCGTCGTGCTCCTCTGCTTTCCTGACACATTTCTCTCCACTTCCTACGGAGGCTCATTTTCCCAAGTTGATTTCAGAAGCAGTGGGAGATGCCGATGTGAAGCCAGCACTGCAAAAGCACACTGAAACCTAGCTTAGACTTGGAGCCCGGCCTAGCCAGATCAGCAATAAAATTTTCAAAAGGAAAGAGGAAAAAAGCTATTTCCCATCACAGGAGCAGTGGGGTGTTTTCCATGGGAACAATGATACTCTGGTTGAGTTCTAAGAACTTTTCTAATTATTAGGGCCAAACCAATGTGAAAGCTGGTGTCAGCGGGAAGAGCTGACGGGAGGAATTATAATTGTGTCTGGGGCCATATGAAAGTGTTATACCATGTCTTGCTCCAGACTTTGCATGAGTCATTTTCCTCCTGGTCAGGGTTTTGCATTGAAGTGCACACTGACAGTTGACTGGATCTTTCCTTGTGCCAGAACTGCTGTGAAGTTGGTTTTTGTTTGTTTTCTTCCTCCAGTGCCACTGTGAGAAGCACCTCAATAGGATCCCTCTGCCGTGGGGGCAGCATCAAGCAAGGCACCGCACTGTGTGGGGCTGATTTGTTGTCAGCAAGTTCTCTTGTGGAAAATCCTTCCTCACTTCTATCTGTAAAACTCCACACGTGTCCGGGGGAATGATGGCAGCTGGCCACCTCTGAATATCTGCCCCTCAGTGCTTGGCTCTTTAACTGCATGTAATTTTACTGCAGGAAAGCTAGTTGCCCCAGACACCTACCTTTAGGCACCACCGTGGAACACTTTCTAAATTACACCATAAAACTGAGATTATGTCCCTCTGATGATAGTTTTTCAAGAGCAAAACCATCAAGTGATCTTTCTCCAGCCTCTCCTTCACCTCATCCCAGCTCCCTGTGCAGAAGCACCCGCTGGTTTCAGTGAGAGCTGGGCTGGACTCCAGGCTGCTCCGGAGAGGCAGGGCCCTCAGCTGATTGATGTTACCAACAGGCAAAGCAAGGCTGTGTAAATCTGAATTATTTTAGGAAGTAACTAAGGAAGCTGCTATGGCAGAGAAACTGGTTAAATCCTGAAAATGATCTGATGGTTTTCAAACAAATCTCACTAGTGTCTTCAAATTACAGAGGAAAACACAAGAGCTGCCAAGCCTTGTGAGCTGTGTCATTTTTGTCCATATATGATTTCAGCTGCCCCACCAGCAGCAGCCACATTCATTCACAACTACATGGTACTCACCATATCCTTTCCCAGTCTTTCTGGTGCATAGTTTTGGAAGACTTTGCGTTAAGTCAAGTCTGCTGAATGTTCAGTTTCATGACCTTTGAGCCCTAAAATGGTCGTCTTTGGCTGGTACCTCAGCTGAACCAGACTGTGCCTGTTGGGAAAGCATCCCTTCTCCTGCTAGAAGTTGCTTGTGTGATTTGATTCTATCTCCCAAATACTGATTTATCTCAAGTTGAGTTTATTTCTTACAATTTTTCCTCCTACAAACACCAGTCCTCTGTACAAGAGCTGGAAGAAGTGACTTTTCCTGCTCCATCCTACTGCCTTCCAGCATCAACTATGCAGTCAAAGTGCAGTCGTGAGACATACACCTTATAGGGTTCCGTTCTGCTAGGTGCATGTTGGAGCTTCTCTTACGAAGGTTTGCAGCTGTTTGTAGGTGTGAGGTGTTCCACGATATAGCAATTGACACAGTGACGACTTCTCAGTGTCAGCATGAATGTCTAGCTCGTACACAGATTCTCAAATCACTGCATTTCCCATATTTGCAACCCCCTAGTCAAGTAAAGCTCCCTGTGATGTAGGTGGGACTCCAGACCCTCAATACCCCTGCAAACAGCAAGCCTCCTTCCATCAGCCCTTCT